TATTTTAACTGAATCATTCCTTCAGTGAAAATAGTGAAAATAAAGCAATCTACAGTGGTTAGCCCCTGATTTAAAAAGTTGCAACAAATAAATCATTTGAACAAGGATGTATAACTTGCCTTATTAGAAATAGAAATAAATGTTAAAACCAAAAACGACATTTGCATGTATTGAATGCTTAACCATTAAAATATGACTATATTTAAATATTCATATTATCAATATATACGAAAATATTTTTGAATCATATACATGCCTGTTATTTAAAGCGTATGCGCTACTAAGTGAGAAATTGTCACCGTACGGAGAATGACTGAATGGAAATACATGTACAACCACATACTGTAAGTCAGAGACATCATACTGAAGTCATACATATATCTAATATAAGAATTATCAAAAGGGAATAACAATATCAATTGGAATAGCCTAATGCTTGCTTGTACAGTAACAGAGAAGGCGACTATAAATAAGCTTTAGAACACTTTAAAAGTCAGTTTGAGCCAAAACAAATTATGATATTCACTAAAATATTCTAATAACACAGTTTTTTAACAAAAATATTGATATCGTGATAAGGGGTAATTTCAAAATCTTAGTTTTGTTGAAAATTAATAAAAAAAATTGCTCAGATTGAAGTACAAAATATCCATGAGTTACTGATAATTTATTCGTTAAACAAAACATGTAGCCACGTTAGCGAGATGCATAGATTATTTTGATATGTTTTTTATGTGTCAGTGTGTCATAGGACTGTACAGTTGTAAATTATCTTCTTTTTTCAGTTTACATATTGCACGTCTCTTTTTATTGTACCAATTGGACGCATTGAAGTCACTAAGAATGAGTTTTTAAGTCGTTTCCCTAGGTTTTTTTAATAACAACATAAACTGCATAATTTTTAATCTGGGATTGTCTATTTTAAAACAGAAGCTTAAGTCTATTATTTTCTAATTGTAATTTTGTTTACTGTTTGTATTGTATTTAACAAATGTGTCTACTAACACACCACTGTAATCGGCCTTATATGGCTGTTGTGGTTGTATTAAATAAATAAAATAAATAAACATATTGTGATACTGGGATGAAAATGCTACACAGGTAGTGGGTAAAACAACAGTAAGTTTTGGAAGCAATTATCGTTTTAAATGTGATAAAAGCAATGTCCATATAGAATGTATAGCTACACTGTAATACAAAAACAAGGGAAAGTGAATAGGAGTCAGATTTTTGACAAAAAATTACAAGAAAAAATCAGTTTACTGTAGTTCTATATGGCTAGAATTATGGTTGCTAAGGAGCCAACAAAACATAAAACACAAATACCTGTAGAAAAATAAATAACTAATGCAAGAAAAAAAGTTGACTGGACTTTAGAATAAGTTACCTGCTGCAATATATATACACCTAAACTTGATTTGTATGTACAAGACTAAATTATAAATCAACTTTCATTTCTCTACAGTAGAATCAAGCCGAGCAATATAATATTAAAATGCATAGACACATTTGTAAGTAACAGCATGTGTCAGCTGAGTTACAAATTATGGTAGTACACATTTGTATGATCTGTAACATCTTGTGACCAAGCAAAATGTGTATGTCAAACAAAGTACATATCAAAATATTGCTTAAATTTATGTAGATATTATTTATATTTTCAATTATACAGTTACCGGCTTTTGATTTGATTAAAATCTATTTCATGCATCAACAGTCAACCAGCGGTGCCTAAACCGATTTAGGTAAACCGAAAAGTATTTATAAAATTGATGTATGTTGACCGCTATGTATATTTCAATCGCAATAAATGTTAATGTCAACATGGCTATTAACATGTCGTCTGCTGACATGAATTTATATCATACATATTAGCTTTCTAGGAAGGCTTTCAGATGAGTTAAAAATTGTATTATAATTAATTCTTATCAAATATTTTTTTTTTTTCATTGGTTACAATCATGCCACTTATTAACATAAAAACCTAGACAGAAAACATGGCATTGAAGCGATGCTGTCGTCAGAGTTGAGCACTGTTAAGAAAAAACAGTTGCGGGCAAGCTTGTAAATTCTCACAATTGTCATATTTTATGACATCCTTGATCATAGTTGATGGATTATTTTGACAATTAAGTACTAGTATGATTGTATGACGGTGAGAAATGAATCGTACGTAGTGCACATGATATTAACACAGACCAATCAGAAAACAGGATAGAAGAATGGTGCACATGCTTGGTGTTCTGACAACAGAGTCGCTTTAAACGAACAGGAATTCAAAACAAAGCTAAAAAATAAATAATCTGTCAAAATATATACGCTGAAGGTGGAGATGCATTCGTAAAACAAAATACAAGAATTCACAGATTATATTTTTCAGTCTGGATGTATGTAGCAGGAAGAAAAAGTTAGTTTTTACAGTTTGTTTAATGCAGTGTTTGATGTAAAAAACGGATTTTACAAAACAATAGAATGTATTTCACTGTGTACAACATCTGGTGCTGTACTCCAGTCTGTAATCTCAATATTTAAGAATAAAGCACACATTAATTTATAATTCTAAAAAAAAATATGAACAATTTTTTGACAAGATTTTTAGATCCATGGACACATGACAAGATCATGCACTAAACTAAACATTTCTAGTCAATATGTTTTCTATGATTGACATGCACAAGTGGCTTTGTATTCTGAATTTTTATTCTGTCATTAAATTCATGATTTTCATTTAACATTGAATTTTTCTTTAACAAATTCTGAGACAAAAAAAGCTTACAAACTGACCCATGCAGCCACTCAAAACATAAGTATCACAGCTGTAGTATGTACAGATAAACAGTGCATGCTCACTTAATGATTATCATTACAATAACGTTACCAGGATTTATACATGCAGCAAGTACTTGATATAACGAGTCAAATAATAAAGAACAGTAAATTTGCTGTTGTTGACAACCATACTGGGAGTTATAAGAAAACAGATTCCATGCGAGTTTTATGAGTGCCGCAAGAAAACTATTTCAGACAATGGACATTCAGAAATTTAATATCTGACTTCACAGATTGCAGTATTAAGAGTGGTCGTCATCAGAATCAAAACGGCAAAGTAAAGTAAATAATGAAGAACAACCTAAAAAACAGCCTGAGACAAAGATGGACACTAACCACTTGACCCATTTGTATGAAGTATTTTTAAAAATGTAGAAATCTTCATGACATATCATTTTCATTCCCTCATTTTAAAAGTCCTTGATACTAATGAAGACAAAATACACGATTTGCTCTCAAAATTTAACAATACATTGTATTTTGATGAAAACCTTTACC